GAACGAACTTGAGTGGCTGGGTGGGGCAAAACACATAGAGCCCGCCATCACGGGAACCGTCGTCAGGAACGGACCCCCTTCCCCCCGAGCGAAGCGGGACCGCGGCAACATGGCGAGAAACCAAAAACGTGAGCCAGCCGGCGGCAGTGGCCGCACGCGCCTGCCACCAAACCCGACCGCACACCTGCACCTGCAGGCGGTTGTCCATCACTTCGTCGACGCACTGCCGTGGTGTTGCTGCTCCGCCCCCAAGGCCAGAGCCAACACAGGGGCAAGTCTCCCCCTGGGGCTGAGCCACGTTGCCCTCGCGACCTGACTCCGTCACGCTGCCGTCGATCGATTCCCACCCACCGCAAGGGATGAAAGGAACCGCATCAGGATTCAGCACCGAAGGCAAAGGCAGACGAGGTCCCTTCTGCATGTGCTTGAGCTCCGCCACCGCGGCCGAAGATACCCAACCACCAGGCTGCACCGCAGAATACAAAGCCACGCGTCTCCGAAGGACCGCAGCACGATCGGCCGGCCGACCCTGGAGCAGGTCTGACAGAGCCGGTGCAAGAGCCAATCTACGATCTGCCAGTGCCGGCTCACCCAGAAGATGGGAAGCAGGAGCTCAAAGACGCTCACACCTGGTCTTTATGCACCCTCAGCTGATCGCCCGATCGGCAGACCTGCGGGCCCACTCTCGGCGTTCACGACGTTCAGCAGCCGTGCGGCGATGGGCAACAGCATCATCGGACACGGGGCGCGCATCACCCGCGCCCCCCCGAACAGTCATCTCAAGCACAACGAGCGAAGACTGCAGCTACAAACGGAAAGGCCATCGCCGAACGAGTTTGAACAACAGGGCTGTCGCTCGCTGTTGAGCGGCTTGAGCCAACATGGCTACGGACCCTCCTCCTCCCTCTCCTCCTTCTCCTTCTCCTCTTTCTCCTCCCTCTCCTCCTCCTCCTCCTCCTCCTCCTCCTCCTCCTCCTCCTCCTCCTCCTCCTCCTCCTCCTCCTCCTCCTCCTCCTCCCATCCTCCTCCCCCCTCTCCGCCCGGACCGTTTCTGACGGCCTCGTGGCGCGGCGAGGGGACCGGAGAGGCAAAGGAACAGCTGCCCAGAACGGTCCGTCCTGATTTTTGCCGGCTCAAGGAGGAGGAGGAGGAGGGGGAGGAGGAGGAGGAGGAGGAGGAGGAAAATGAGGAGGAGGAGGAGGAGGAGAAGGAGGAGGAAAAGGAGGAGGAGGAGGAGAAGGAGGAGGAGGAGGAGGAGGAGGAGGAGGAGGAGGAGGGCCCTGGCTAAACCGGTCGTTCAATGACCGCTGGCATGCAAGCCGAAGCAGCCCCAACGGGCTGCCATGCCGAGCACTGAGCCCGACGACGCTGGCCACGCAGCCCCGCCTATGCCGAGCAGCGGATGCCGAACCCAATGGCCCAGCGAACAGCTACTGGCAGGCTGCCCGCTAATGCTCGTGCTGTCCGAGGCCAGCAGGAGCAATGGCAGGGGGCCCGCGCCGACGCGCGAGCAGCAGCTTTGCGGAAGAACCAGCTGGCCAAAACGAGGCGAAACCAGCAGGCGACGAGAATTGCGGCGGGACACCTTAGCGCGACCTGAAAGCACGAGGCACCTCACCAGTCGGCGGCCATGGCAAGCATCGCCTTGACCTCTTCCATGGCCTTCGCCTTGTCAGAACTGCTGCCCGAGTCATAGAAGAGGGCCAAGCACTTGTCAAATTTCTATCGGTAATGTTCGCCGGTCAACTCGTCGCCGTCCTTGGCACCAGCTACAGTGCTGTCGGTGACGACGTCCGGCTCGACATCCATGGAGGGCCAGGGCGGCACCGCAGTCAGGTCAGGGATGCCGCTCGCGAGCTCCTCGTCGTCGTCGAGATCGTACGCGTCAGAGCCCAAGTCTCCGCGGCCGACGTGGCTGTAGAGCCCTGTGCCCACGGGATTCGGCCCGTGGTTCTTCTCCTCGTCTTCCCCGTTGACCGTGCCATGGGACATTGGCCAGCGCGTCGAGGCCCAAGAAGACGCTCAGCTCGGCGACGCCGTTGCCCTTGAAGTTCTTGAATCGTAAGCGCTCCCGCCAGTGGAGACACAGCCGCGGTCACGGACGACCAGGTGCCTCCAAAACATGAGCACGTAGTCCAGAAAGTTCCTGCTGTAATGAGGCACGTCCTCTACTGGATCTCCGCATCGACCTGGGCGATCAAGCTCTCCACCAAAACATCTCTGTCCTGCTGGCGGGACACCTGTCCTTTTTCGTCTTGGGAGGCACGATCTCCGATGTAGAAGCAGCGGGGTGAGATGTCAGAACGCTGTCCAGCCTGCGCTCCAGCACCGACTGCGCGAAGTACTTGTTCTCCTCCTCCAGCCGGCATCTGATCGCCCTGGGAGCGCCCCTCTCGGCGGCCAGCATCATCAACCTCTCCTTCATTGTGAGCTGGTCGTCCGTCTCCTTCGTGCAGATGCCCTCCTGCTGCGCCTTCAGCTCGGCGGCGCCCTGCGGCTCCTCCTTCGGCTCCTGCTGAGCTCCCTGCGTCGCCCGCCGGCGAATCGCCGAGTGCTGCTCCAGTATATGAGGAGGGGCACTTGCAGTGCACATCCAGCAGCGCTCGCAAAACCCCCGAAGTTCTTTAACATGCACTTCGGGCCCGAGCTCTTTCAAATCATGACCTGGTCTGCCGCTGGGGCCTTCTCCGCGCTGGCCACCGAAGCTGCAGAGCCGGCCAGGGCTGCAGGCTCCGATGAGCCCTTCGTATTGGCGGCCTCGAACTCCTGGCGATTTTGCAAGATCTGGCCCCGCAGGGTCCCTGGTCGACTCCTGGGCCACCCTGCGCCGAGGGGCCTGCTTGACCACGGGCTGCGGGGGCGCCGGAATCCAGCGCCCATCCTCCATCCTCCGCCGACGCGGCGGAGAGGTGGGCACCCTTGGTGGTGAAGGAGGGCAGCCTGACGGCGCCCGCGGCCGCTTCGCCCCCCTCCGCGTCGAGGACCTGCTGGTCGAGCTCACGGGTGAACACGACCTCCAGCTTCGACTTGCCGCCCGCCGAGATAAACTCGGCCTCTAGCTGCCCCAGGACCGCGCCGTTGCAGGCCTCGCGGAGCGCCGCGCTGGGCGCCGGCAGTCTCACCGGCAAGCCATGCCGCCGCGCCGCGGGCTTGGGCGCGCTGCGCCCCTGTCAAGCGCGCCCAACCTCTCTCTCAACCTCTCGCGGGAAAGGGGCTGGGGGAGGGATTCTATTATATTATACGTCTGTGCGTGGTGACCTGCTGCAAGGCTGGGCACGCTGAGCCATCTGGCCAATCAGGGAAGCCGCCTTCGCACGTAGGAGGCAATCCCCTCTTCAGTCTGCTGAGCACTTCATTGCCAGCTCTTGTGCGCGGCAAGCACTCCGACCTCAAATTCCGCGGGTTCTCCACGCAGTGGCGCCCGCAGATTTCACAAGACAGAGCTCCTCGGTGCGCGGCTAGCTCGAGCGAGGCATGGCACAGCTCAGCCACAGGATGATCCAATCCCCCACCCACTCCCGCCCCCCGCGGCCCAAGGTCATCAGATTGAGGAGGGCACCCTGAGAGGAGGGACAGGTGCACTCCCAGCAGGGAGGGTCTGAATTCGCTGATGTATCCCTGTGCGGCGTTTACATATGCTTGGCCAGAACTCGCAGAGAGGACCTCGACGACTGAAAGAGCGCGCGCGCAGACTGCACTTGGAAGACGTCGAGCGAACTACACAAGTATGACCACTGTCTTGGAACATGTGCATTCGCTCGTCCACTGAACGCACAGACTGACGGGCACGGACCTCTCTGCGCACTTTCTCACCTTCCGAAGTAAAAACAACTTCTCTCTGCACAGCCAGAAGGCGGCCTGGAACCTTGAAGACCCGCTCATCGGCCGGAAACGTTCGACGGCCTGGTCTTCTGTCACCTGGCCAGCATCAGCGGCCTTCCCCGCAAAGAAATCAGCCTGGCTATTCAAGCGCAACTCAGTATCACTCATACACATGAGCATCTCTCAATCGTGACGCCCCGGGCCCCCAGGACCTGGTGGCATTCTTCCCAGATGCCGAGCATGGGCGACTTCGCTTTGGCACGGAGGGGGCGCCGAGCACCTTTGACAACGGACATGTTGTCGCAGTAAACTCTCACATTGCCCGCCGAACGCTTCGCCAACTGCACGAGCGCATATAATTCAGCGCGGCCAGCGGACTGCACCTTAGTTGGCAGTGAACCGCTTGCCACGCCGTCAAACAGGCCAGCTGGACCTTGGTGGACAATAGCCCAGCCACATCTTCTCAAACGCCAATCTGCATGATATCCACCCCCGCTACTGTCGATCCCCCAAACGCCGCCGTGCACGCGAGCCCCCCCGCCCAAGGTACACCGCTCTCAAGAAAGCTCCAGGGGGCCAAGGAGGCGACCCACACTGGCGGAAAAGGGGCGGCAGCCCACGGATCCCAGAGCAGGAGGACTCGGGGCATCTTACAGCGTCAGCTTTAGAAAACATTGGAACGGTAGATCGCAGCATCGGGGATAGCATCATTGAACATGCGCCGCCCCAAACGATGGGCAGCAGATTCGGCCTCTAGGCCGCGCCGGGGCAGAGCCCTTCCGTGGCCAACTCGTAGCCAGCCTTAGCATGACGGTCCTCGGCCCAAAAACCAGCAGTCATCGCGTCGCGGAGGATGCCAGCGGCATCAAATAAGCCTTCTGTTTCAAGCTTTATCAAAAACGCCCAGGGGGCCGTAAATCAACTCCTCCTGCCAAACGAGATCCTTCATAATGTTTAGCAGCCCCGCTCCGCGACATGTCCCCGCGCGCCTCCACGAGCGCGCGCCAAGAGGGCGTGGGGGGCGGCCGAGTCGCCGACGCGGATGCGCACTCCATTCGGGGAAAGCCAACAGACAGGACTGCGAGGCAGGACGTGCAGAACCATCAAGACAGCGACAGTCGCAGCAATGGGGCCTCGAACTCATTGCCATCGGTGTTTGCGAAACTTTTCAACAGTAAGGTCCCAGCACCGAGCGACATCCATACGTTCAGTGTGATCACGGTCCTGCCACACACCGTAGACGCTAACCAAATGCTCGTTGCGAAGCCTGAACTGGGGGTCATCCTTTGCAGCGCTGATCAGACCCGAGACCGCGGTTGCGCAGGCGCCAGGGGGCCATCTACCACTACGCATGGCCGCTCGGGCCCTCATCGATTGGGTTTGGCCAGGGGCGAGCACCAAAACTTGATGGGGCGGAAACCCGACCGCGGGGGCCCCAGGCTTATACAGACGTCGGGCGCTACCGGCGACACTGGTGAGGAGCGCAACCTTCCTGGCCTTCTTGGAGGCCTGGCTGCGCCGCTGCATCAATTTAGCCGTTGACCTCCTTCTACTTGCCGTAGTCGTGACCCCCAGATCTCGAGCAGCAGCCTGGAGCTTACTGGGCAAACCAGTCGCCCTGAAACGCGCGGCAAGCTCACGGCCAAGCTCTGCATGACTGCAAACAAGCGCAGACTTGGAAGATATCGTTACTCCTCCAAGCTGGTGGGCCAACAACATAGCAGCAGAAACCAAAGCAGTCGACACTTCATTCATATGGCCTACTTGAGACTGGGTGATGTCATCCAAGCAAGCTGTCACATGCAGGGCAATAGTGGTTCTGAGCGAGGCCTAAGATATCGTAAACACAAATCTTCACCCGCGGCATAGACTGCATGCGCCCAGCAAGTATACCACGCCCAGGAGGGATGACATCATACACGAAACCGCCAACTACTAAAACACGCGGAATTCATGAATCAGAACACCGAGGCAGAGGAGGTGGAGCGGGCAATCCATCCTCACACCAAGCCCAATCAGCCTGCGTGGCTAGACGGAGTCGAGAAATCTCGTCGGATCCCAACGTGCGCCGGCTGATCAGAGCCCAAGCACGCGAACAACTGCGTGGCCAAGCTCATGGAGTAAATCAGCCTGGAGCGCACTAGATCCTCGGACCGCTGTGCCCCGAAAGTTGTACCTAGCAGATGTCCACCTTTCAAGATCAGAAATCCTGGCTTTACAATGCACTCTATATTAGATGGGGCATGTGCAAAAGGGCCTATCACATTCAACATTTTTGGGGAGTCAGGCAATAGGGCTCAGATGCACTTGCGAGGGCCAGGACAGCTGAGCTTCACACTGATTGACGAGCTGGGTGCGCCCCCAAAAATCGCACCGAGGAAGGTCCACCAACGCCCCGGGCGCCCGGGAGTCCACCCCCACCGCGGTGGAGGCAGAGATACAACGAGCAGCGCGCTGGACACCCACGGGCTCCAAGGGTCCAGGGTCGGGGTGGATTCGAGGGCCCGGGGTCCGAGCGCGCCCGGCACTCCAGAAAACAAACCGCAACAATCAAGGGGATCTCACACCTGGCTCCAGAAAGCGTGTCGGTACTCCATGAGATCCCCAGGGAGCTGGCGGGCCCCCTGAGGGGCCGCCGAAATTTTGGGGGCACCCCCTAAATCGCGCTTCAGCCCAGCATGCACTTTCTTCGCACCTTTTGGAGGGGCCTCGAGGAGCCAGTCTTTCACGCGGGCTCTGGATTGTATGCGAGCTGCCTTCCAAGCCGCTCGCAGGCTGGTAGATATCGCGCCCGTCGAGGCGTCGAGACCGCCCGCCTCAGCTGGCAGGAAAAAAGCTGGGAGCGCCACCGAGCGGTTCCGCGCAGATCGCCAGCACTGATGTACTTGTCCATCTGCGAAGCTAAACCTTGGAGGACGCGACCTAAGCTCGCGACCATGCGTGAATACTCACGCGCCACGCAAAGCCGATACTCAAACATATTATAAAACAAGTTGGGCCCAGAAAGCGAGCGCAGGTTCTCGGAGACACTGGCCTGCGGGGCCTCTCCGCCAAATAGTAGAGCAGCGAAAAACTGGGAAATCACTTCGTTTTACCTGGCCTTCCTTCTGGGCAACTGCAACCGCGCGACTCAAACCTGGCTTCGGTCGCTCTAGACAAGAGAAAATAAATGCTGGGAGGCCCGCCGTTCATAATGTCCTGCACATGCGGAGCCAGGGCGCGGTAGAGGCACCCAAGGGCGCCACCGCCAAGCATGCTCGCTTGCTTCGCACGCGCAGCCTCTTTCAGGAAATCGCGGGCCCAGGGGGGGTCGGGCCCAGGACAATAAGGGGGGGGGGGGGGGTACGACGTTGACACATGCACTGCGCAAGTGCCTCATGCTGCATACTCACCTGCAGGCGCGCGCGCCTTGAAAGGGCTCTGCGCGCGCGTGCTCACTTGAATGCAATCTGCCAAGTCAATGGACGCAACCACGTAACCAAAAAACTTGCCACGTCCACGGGTAAAAGCTACCTCGACATCATCAGGTACTAAGGTACGGGCACGGGCGAGTTTCGGGAAAACCAGAAAGGCCCATGTCACCCACAGGCACGTCGAAGTCCCCCATCAGAACCCACGGGGTAGCCAGGGTCCCCAGAAACTCAGAAACGGCACGGGTCCGCGCAATGTTCCCCCTGG